ACACACACACACACACACACACACACACATACATACATTTCAAATTCTGTTCTTTCAGTTATGCGATACAGATTTATACATCAGGTGGTTATGTTAATTGGTTGAAATAATTTTTGCATATGAAATTTTAAAATTCGTTGAAAACGTTGCAATGAACGAAAAATGATGAGAGAATGAGGAAGAAATGAGTGAAATTTTGCATTATTGCTTAGTTAAAGATTGAATAAAGCTATTAAAAAAGGGCAACACAAATGATGATTATTTCAGACTAATTAATCATTCATGTAATTCAAAGATCAAACAGGAAAACAAATTTTCCTTTTTTTTTTGTAAGCGCATAAATAATAAATTAACTAATCAATGAATCAATAAATAAACAAACAAACAAACAAAGAAGCAACAGTAAAATAAAATTTGAATAATATATTAATCAATTTTCTTTTTTCATTATTACTATTACTTTTTTCATTTCGGTTGTTTCATTTCAAGAATTTCCGCCAATTTCACTCCCAATTTTTCAGCTACTCGTTGATCTTTGACAATTAATGTATAGAGATATTTGCTACATCCAAGGTTAAATCTCACATCATTTTTGTGCTTCTTAACTTTGAACGATTTTATATCCGTTCCTTTCAAAGCTTCCAAAAATGTTCGCATTTCCATTACTTGTCGTGGCATTTTTAAATTTCACAAAATTATCTGTATAATAATAGCAAACAAATTGCCTGCAAAAAAATGGAAATGAATTAAAATTTTACAAAAGATAAATAAATGTAAGCAGTATAGCGGATGAATGAATTAATAATAGGTAAACATGTGTGTAAAAGTAAATAAAAACAAAAAACAATTATTACTCCATTTTAAAATGCTTTAGCTGACTAACTGAAATGAACTGTAAAATAAACATTTATAATTTATTTTAATAGAATATTTTTATTAAATAAAATAGAGTGCTAAAAAATTTCTGTAATACCGAAAAAAAAGAAACAATTGTTTAACTTATCAAAATTTCCATTTTCAAAGTCGGAGGAAAGATTTGAAATACGATTAAATGAGTGACCAATAATTTTGAATTGCTTAATGCGAAAATGCAATTTGCGTGAAATATTTGCCCTAACGAATCGTCCGATAACAAAACGTAGTAAATTGTGAGTGAATTTTAGTATTAAACTTTATTGAAAATAATGTCTAAATTTAAAATGTAACAGCAAATGATGTAATGAAAGTTGCAAGAATGAATTATTTATTTGTACTCACCGCTTAGGATGACTGCTACAATGATAAAACTAACCAAAGCTAGCAAAATTTAATAATGTTGCAGACGTGTGATAATCGAAACGGCTACAATTACGATTATTGTTGTTGTCCACACCTAAACAATTAAATAATATGAATTATCTAAAATTTTGAAAATAAATTAATCTAATTCAAATCAATTTATTAAAATTACAATATTTGCTAAATAATTAAACTTTTAAAAATAAAAAAAAAATTAAAGAAATGACCCAGTGAACCATGTGCGCAAAATGCATATGGTTCACTGGGTCATTTTTGTTGCGAAAAGGGACATATAAATGAGAGAGGGAGAGAGAGAGAAAGTGGGAGAGAGAAGGACAGAGAGGGGAGAGAGAGGGGGAGAGGAAGAGAGAGAGAGGAGGAGAGGGAGGAGGAAAGAGAGGGAAAATAAGTTCATTCTTTTTGTGACCACACTGGCAGAAGGTCAAGTCAATTGACCCAATGCTATACAATATGTTCTGTGGAAATCGATTACTATTCTTACAGTTGCCGTCGATTCATAGTGATTTGCAACTGATAAACAGACTATTCATCTGTCAATATATGTCAAAGTAATTTTAATTATTTAAGTATTTATCAAATAAAATAAAATGACTAAATCTTTAAAAAAAATTTGTCAACAAATTACGCTAAACTTATTCTAAATAATTTTCTGCTTATGTAATAAACAAAATATTTGAATGTGTAAAATTTCTGATTGCAATTTTAATGTTTATTACTGATTAAAGAAATTATATTATGAAAAGCAAAGAAAAAATCGGGAAAAAAGTTTTGTTCGAGTGACTTATGCGTGATTTAAATGATTACATCGGATATAATTTGATCTTCACTTGTACCGAACGAATATGAAATAATTAAATGAATGGATTTGATAAATGTAATTTGCAGTAATGAATTTGTTACTTTAAAAGAAAATCGATATCAAAAGAAAAAAGGAAAAACAAATGCCTTAAACAAAATTTCAGAACATTTAGAATATTTTATTTATTGATATTAATTATTTATTTTCCGAATTGATTCTTATTCAATTAATTAAATTTCCCATACTTAAGAAATTTAAATTTGATGCGCATTTTATACTTTTATTCATATTTATTGTTAACATTTAAAAGTCAATTTAAAATTTATTAATGAAAAAAGCAGTGCCTAAAAACAAAATTTCGTCAAATTTTTTTTTGTTCGTCTCATTTCAAATGTATTATAATTAGAATAAGCATTCCATCACTCTTCCAATTCATTCCATTCCATTCCATTCATTCATTCGTTCATTCATTCATTCATTCATTCATTC